ATATTCGAGAAATCTTATTAAAAAATATATGCACTCTGCGACAGAATTCGAAGCTGTTCCGCCTGGACAGAAGAAATCGTCGTTAGATCCGACGTGAATCTGGGAAGGATTTGCGAATATAAAGCACTACTCGGCTTTGCTTGATTGGCGACGACCTCGGTGGCCTAGTCGGTCTAAAGCACTTTGTTCCGCAAAATTAGACATTTACAGCTAGGACAAGCTATGTCACATACTGTTATAAAGTTCGTATGACGCTCGTAGTTCTGGTTAATAACATTGTAAGGAAACCCTGGAACAAAAGGTTGAGTGAAGAGCAGGTTTAATCACATGAGAGGCATGGATTAATAATACAGTAATAGACCATAGTTCTGGTTAATATTACTGTAAGGAAACACTGGAGCAAAAGGTTAAGTGTTGTTAAGGTTTAATCACATGAGAAACATGGATGATCAATGCCGTAACAGCGAATACCATTGTGTAGTGAGAAAATGCGTACGTCTCAAATGCTACACCTTGCAACCTACTTTGCGAGGATCGTTCCAATAAGCTGATCTACTACTCATAGCGGATGGACGAGTTCATGTTCAACAATTAGGGTAGAGAAAGTCGGTCGTATTTCAATAGAACACATACACATCTCCATTCTCTTCGTATTCCATTGATAAAAAGGAAGTACCACTCGGGCAGTTTCTTTTTCTGAGAAAAGCTACTTTGTGGAATAAACTCGCGGCGAAAGAATTCTTCCCTGATCTATACAATCTTAACTTCTTTAAGTCTAAGTTCAATCGTTATCTATCTTACATTATCTATCTTACATAATCTACACACGGTATATTGAGGTATTCTTGAGCCTTGTATTGGATGGATATTTTTCTTCATGTTAGTGTTTTTTTTTTTTTTTTTTTAAATATTCTGGTCAGTTTCCATGTACTGGTGCAGTAAATACCAGAAATCGGATTATCCAAAAGAAGGTAAGCGCTGAGGAAAATTAAACTGTCTAACCCATAGCACCGGTTTCCTTGTTGAACGCTCTCCTGTCTCTAATCCCCTTTGTATGTTTCAGCATCAAAGACAAATGGTTACAAATGCCCACACGATTAAGCTATTTGCTTCAATCACCTCCACAAGCTTATTAACCATTAGACCTGGTCTAATGGTTTATAAGCTTGTCGCGCTAGATCACCTACGACTGAAAAGAGAGTTCGATCCTCACTGGGTGCTCCACCCTTTCGGTATAACCACGCATCCACGCTACCCTTAGAAAATCATGTTGGGCAACTCGTCATGACGTAATGGTTAGCAAACTTGTCCCACTAGAAAAACTACGACTGAATAGTGAGTGCGATCCTCACTCGGTGCCCCATGCTTTCGGCCTTGTGTCACATCTAATGTATTCTTGGAAAACACCCTAATATTAAGCACTTCAACGTGGTTTAATGGTTAATTTGTAATGCCAACGAATACTCGTTGTCACTTTTGTAATACACGTTGTAGTAGAGACTTTGTAATCGCAGATTAATAGTAATGCCGTTGAACAATGCTGGTGTCAGACGCCTTCGGATAATCTCGCACTAATAGTACTTGCTCGATAATACTCGCTCGAATAGTAATCCATATAGAGAAATAGTATAGTGAATAGAGTAGAGAATAGCGGTCCTTATAGTAATAGAACATAGAGTAAGAATAGTGATTTTCTGATTTGTGAGACAAGGCCGAAAGTATGGGGCACCCAGTGAGGATCGAACTCACTACTCAGTCGTAATTGATCTAGCAAGACAAGCTTTCTAACTATTACTCCATGTCGAGGTGCCCACATACAGTAAAAATAGCAATAGTCGTCAGCTACTTCCTACTTTTATGTGTTTCCTCTATGGTCACGTGGTGTACTTAATTCATTAATGGGATTGCCTGTGTTTGCACACTGGCGATCTATGTTCAAACTCAAGTGTCGGCAGCGAAACTTTATTCCTATATAACAGGTTAGCAGGCGTGTTTTACGAGATCAATTACAACTGTGTAGTGAGTTCGATCCTCATCGGGTGCTCCACGCTTTCGGCCCTGTGCCACATCTAAGCTAAGCTTGGAAAATCGTCTGGGCACTTCGGCGTAGTGTAATGGTTATCAAGCCTGTCTCGCGAGATGAATTACGACTGTTATGTGTTCGATCCTCACTAGTTACCCTATGTTTTCAGCCTTGTGCCACATATATATATTGCAAAAAAAAAATCACAACTTCCGGCACGGTGTTTAGTTGTTACCGTACTCTTATCATTTTTCAAATAAATTTCTACACAGAACGATTATTTTGTATCAGGAATAAATTTTTAAAATCCCGTTTATTTTACCATTTGCAAAATTCCGACCGGCATCGCTATTTCAGACTTTCGACGGCATTTGTATTTGGTGCAAAACTATAACAGAAAACCTGGAATTCATCTCTCTCAAACCACATCACCAGTCTGTCCATACAACGCCCAGTTAAACTTTCCAAAGTCCAAATTTTTGCAAATAAGGTTTATTTCAGCACCAAAATTTATTCAATGTTTATCGAACAAAACCGACAAACTTTGCCTGGCTAACTTTTTTTACTTAGTTTTCCAATTAATTTAAAAAAAAAAAATATATATATATATATATATATATGTGTGTGTGTGTGTGTGTGTGTATTATATATATATATATATATATATATATATATATATCAAGAACAATTTTAGGAAGATATATGAAAAAGCATTCGCGTATCGTCCTTTAAATTATTAAATCTAATGTTTCCAGCGTCATCTCTCCTTCGAGCGTATGTCGCCTCATCTTTATTATGATGTGATCCTAAAAGATGAAACACGTCACATTAAAACTATACATATATATGTGTGTGTGTGCATGTGTGTGTATGTATGTATGTATGTGTATGTATATAAATACATATATAGATAGACAGACAGACAGACAGATATAGATGGAAAATATTATATATATATATATATATATATATATATATATATATATATATATATATATATATATATACTGTAATATCGTATTTTTGCTTGAAAATCAACAACCGGTGAATATGTACTGTTCTGCCGAAGATTGTGTTGTGCATGAAACTCAAGAGTTGTATTACCGGTGAGGAAAATGTATATTTATTATTAATATATAATAATAGCCCTGTTATTTTACACCGAACAGTATATTATTAGCACGAACACTCAAAGTGCAATATATATATATATATATATATATATATATATATAAATCAGAACCTAGGTTAACATTTTGGGAAGAATTGTTAGCTGCGCTTTCAAGAACTTTCCTTCTAAGTAAATTATTTTCTCTTTTGATAAGTGTTGCATTCTTGAGATCGAACTTATTTTTGTGTATATCTAATGCATTTGATAAAGTGTTGTATATTGTTGTTTTTTTTCTTTCTATTCATAAATACGTTTTATTATTATTATTTTTGCAAGTTTCACCGATATATTGTAAGGAACAGTTGCGACAGTTTACTTCATATAATCAAAGGTGTCCATAACAATAATAATTCTGAAACTAAAAGAATCTTATGCAATTTATCAAATGCATTACTTATAGACAGAAATAAAACCAAGTATGAGTTCACTTTCAAGAATGACACATTTATTAAAAGAGAAAAGTTATATATATATATATATATATATATATATATATATATATATATATATATATATATATATATATTGTGTGTGTCCTAAAAACATAGTAATTGTGACTTCAGTTTGAATATTTATAAACATTCAAGATCATTCAATAATTAATTTAATCCGTTAATCTTCTCTGTAAGTCAGTAAAAATCAAATTCTTAATATATATATATATATATATATATATATATATATATATATAAATAGGCTATGAAGTTACGCCTGAAGGCGACAGGTTCAAGAATGGAATAGAGATATATATATATATATATATATATATATATATATATATATATATATATATATATATATATATATTATAATTTACTAATGTAAAAATATTTTTAAATTAGTAGTAACAGTTATGCTCTGTAAATTTGCATCGATCACTGTATTGTAAAAATAAAAATATTAATAAGAATACCGGATTATATATCTTACTGTTTTTTCTCTTTATTATAATATATATATATACATGTAAAAAAAAATTTTTTAAAGCATTACTAAGCCAATGACATCCTTGCTTTTGTATATAAACACGTACAACAAATTAAATCCTGCTTTTGACTTGATACAGTCCCCCAGAGGACGAAACGCGTTGGCTAAGAATAGTTTTTCCTCTTGTCCTTTTTATTCATTGTGTTCCTTTACAGATCCACTTTATCTGAAAATAATTCACACACACAGACATATGTATGCGTGTGTGTCTGTGTGCAATAAAAATGATTCTTATATCTATTAAAATTACGGCTTTATTATCATTGTCATGCCCATTGATATTATTATAGTCGTTATAATTTCTTAGTCTATTTTGTGCTCGACTGTCTACCCAGTCTGCGATTCAAGGTGTCAGTTATATGGGAGGTTACGAAGAATCGTTCGATATTACCGTTCAGACATGTTTTCGTCTATAAATGTAGGCTATGCTCATTAACGTTTTGAATATCCAACAGGAATAACTTTTCACTTATTTTCGGACTCTAGTCTTGTTATCTTTGTCTTCTTTTCTTACACATAAAGTCGAAGATTGTTGCAATTTAATAATAGTAACAATTATTACGACGACTGATATTTGCCAAGCTTAGCTTAGTGCAGAAAAACGCTTACAAGTATGAGACGAGCAAAGTCAGTAGTGCGATGAAGATCGACAAGACTTTTTCCTTTGTTCATCACAGACACACATAGCAACAGCCGAAAAGATAGTCAACATTTAAAAAGAACCTTGAAAAAAAAAATATATATATATATATATAACTGATTTATTCTATGGCTCGAAGAAGTACCTAATTTCTTCATCTTTACAAGAGTCATCGGCTT